TATATTGCTACTATTATTTATTGTGCCTTATTTTATAAGGCAGCTCTACCCTCCCACCTTGAGTACATAGTTTCCCGCTGGTACATCAGTGATGTCAATCCACTGGCAGTCGATGTTTGCGTGATATGTGTCATAGCAGCCGGGACCAAGGCCCTGTGAAAAAGCCAAGGAAGAGGAAAAGGAAAGAGTTAATTTATGTTTCTAACTGATTAAATTTAAAAAATGAATCGGCCAAACAAACATAAAACAAGTGGCGGGCGGATGGATAAATAAATCATAAACAGGTGCAGACCAACCTGTGTGTGAGCAGTGCAGGCAAAGCGTCGGCGTGTCCCTGGGTCACAAGACGTGTCCTCCAGACAGAAACTGGCCTTGTGTCCCTCGGCCACCTTCTGTCCAGTGGAGACATCCAGCAGGTCGTAGTTACTAAAGGCCTCCATACTGTGGTAGTGCCTGGACAGAGGCAGATCCAGTGACTTTACTCTGGAAATGATTTTATTGTCTTGCCCAGCTCATATTGACAGTTTGTGATCACAGTGATTAACGGTACCTCATACATGTCATTTTCTATTCCAAATAAACTTGTGAAGTCGCTTATTTTCTCACATCTAAATAGCATTTGATCGTACACTCATGGGCAGCAAAAAAAAGGAAGTATCATGAAATACTGTAAAGCTAGAGCGCAGGCTCTTATAGATCAAATACATAGTGAGTTTATCAGGAAAATACTTTTATTTAAATATTTTTATTTTCTAAAAATATTCAATTTGTTGCTGAGTGCATGAAATGTAGTTGTATTTATTTCCATGAACAAGTACTGAGCATCAACCCATTGCTCAGGACCAGTGATTTACTGTAAGCTCATTCTTGAAGTGTGACTTTAAAGACTTAACTGAAAAATATGTGATTGACTGATATTAATTTTATCAGTGAGGCTGCAGCCTCAGGGGATACTGAACAATATTTACTGTGCTATATGTAACTGGTTGATTTCTTAGAACTGTTGTGGTTTTTACAACAACACCGTTACTTTTAGTTTTTATTTTATGCACAGGACAATATCCTTTCATTTATTCATACTAGAGATTTTTTTTTACATACATTTTGATTCACCACAGTCTGCTAGGTTCAAAATGAATGGTTACACCAGATAGATAGATAGATAGATAGATAGATAGATAGATAGATAGATAGATAGATAGATATAGATTTAACAGTGAACTCACTGGTGACAGCTGTGCCATTCCCACTCGTGACTGGGCCTCACTGGAAGGAAGTCTGCTGTTCCTTGATTCTTCACTCGCTGTGGGAACCGCAGCAGGACTCTGTAGTCGAGGTCGCTCACACTTGGATGATACGCAGTCCTGGAGGGAACAGGAACATGAAAGGAATGAGCTAAGATTACCTTGAGTATCTTCAGTATGAGCTGAAATGAAACCTAAACTACAGGGTGCTGGTATTAACTCATCTCACAGTTTTGCTTGTGGCATGTCTGGTATCTTTATATCACATTATACACAGTAAATACTTGACTTCACATTGAGTGCCTTCTCTTTCTCACTGACTATTAGCCATACTGCAATGGTGATTTACTGTCAAAGTGACAGAGGTGGTTTCTGGTCTTGCCTCAGTAGTTTTTACATTCACCTCCGGAATCATTTCCCCTTGCATTTCTGAGCATATTTTACTTGGCAAAGTGGCTGCTCAGATCAGAGGAGAGAGTCTCGTGCGGTTGCCAGGTTTGTGTCACACAGCTGTGGCTTCCAAACAGGATGAAAGCCAACACGCATATCGTAATTTGGCAACCTCTGAGGAATCCTAAGGTAAACGTTTTTTCTTTATTTATACATGTGTACCTCAGCGAGGTTTGTGCCTACATTTGTGCTATCATTTCCTACACAGTAAAGAGTCACCTGGTCATACCAAGTGGACAAAGTGCAACACAAGAATCATTGCACATTTCTTATAGAAATGTGGAGTGAACAGACCATGTAATAATGGGTTTTACTTCACTACCAGATTAATGCAGTGTAATGTCAAATAAACATACACACCTGGACAGACAGTTCTCCTCAGCAGCACAGCGAAGTGCATACATCTGCACTTTCTGGATGTAACAGGCAGCTTGGATGTAATAAGGGTCAGGAACCAAGTCTGGCAGACCTGCAGGACAAACAAACAAACAAATACATAAATAAATAAACCCACACTGTTACTCTAAAACAGTGATATCTGCTACAAGCCTCAGCAGCAGACACATAAACATCAACTTCTTTAAGACCTACTAGTTAAATGGGCACAAGGTATTTGGGGCATAATCAACAGAGGTGTGTGTATCTTAGCACTGTCAAAAGATCTATCTGTATCTGCTGATCTAATACATGCAAATATAAAAAATAGGACACATTCGAATTAATAAAAACAGCCTAGTATTGAAAACTTTGGATAGTTTATACTGTGATAACTTAGAAAGATCATTTCCCCATCACTGCTGGGTAGTGGGGCAACTGTGGTTCAGTGGGTAGAGCGGTCGTCTCTCAACTGGAGGGTTAGAGGTTTGAATCACAGGGTCTGCAGTCCACATGTTGAAGTGTCCTTGGGCAAGACACTGAACCCCCAAGTTGCCCCCAATGGTTAGAACCATCGGTGTGAGGTGGCGCCGCAGATGGCTGCCTCGGTTCTGTACCGGAAAAACAAATTCCTTGTGTGTGTAACATACTTGGCCTAATAAAGTGATTAGTCTAATGACTGGCTCCCAGTCTTTCTACCAACCATATAATTTTAACTTTTCTCAGAGGATCTCATAATGAAGACATTAGTTGTGTCATGTGGGAGAATGAACTCTCATTAAAATGTGCATTAGAAAAAGTGTATTTAAATTTTCAACACAAAAATGAGTATGGGCATCTGTGCCACAGTACCACTGAGTGCTTAAGCACAACGAGCTGGACTTTACCATTATTCTGACTTTAGATAGGTTTAGGGTCTTTTTTTTGTATTGTTTTAAACAATTTTCAGTGCAAACTGTGTCTCATTCTAACTGTGTGTCTTATCTGCCTGTCTCACCATTGTGGAAGAACCTGGTGCCAAAGCCTGGTCCTGGAGGCCTTGCAGTGATCCTGTTTCTGTGGTCTGGTGGATAAACATTATAGAAAACTGAGTTCCTGTGATGAATACTGTGTGGAACCCGTGGGTCACCCATGTCCGTAGTCCGTGTAGTATCCGGCCTTGGACGAGGGAAGTGTATTTCTACAGCGTTACTGGACAGCGCTGTGGGAGAAACATTTGACTCCGGGGTGACTCTGGTGAGTGAGTGGACTCTGGGCGTCCTGCGGGCACCTAAACTGGTTTGCTGTGGGATACGACGTGCATTCCCACTATCCTCAGCCATGGTAACCCATCCAGATGTGGTGCGTGACTGGGGCGTTGAATCCGAGTCCTCAAATCTTATCCGGCCGCCCCTGCTGTGCGTAAAATTTGGTGTTCTTACAGGTGAGGCTGCGGCTTGTTGTGGACCTGCGTCATCCCCGGGTGTGTTCCGTTCTCCTCGTGGGACTCCGCTGCCAGAGAACTCCTGGATGGTGGTGAAAGCGGCAGCGCTGCCATTAGACGGAGCCTGGTCTGAACGATATCCCAAAGCCACAGCCTCTCTGGTAGAGGCGACGGGCGGACGGGACAGATTGGGCGTCCGGGCTCGTCCCGAGGCGAGTAAATACTGACTCGCATCAGCACCAAGAACTGACGCATTTATTTGACTGAGGTCGTTTTGAGGTGCGTAAACCCCGGCTGCGTCCTCGGGGTCTGCAGATCTGGTTCTGGTGGGGCTACTGAGCGCAACAGGAGGGTTAACTCGGTTCAAATTGGTTGTTAGTAAGAGTTGAGTGCCTCTTCTAGTCTGTGTGGGTGCGCGAAATTGAGTCCCCGTGCTCAGTAGACTGTACACTTGGCCATTATTCTCCCACTGAATCCGGTTTCTCCATGGTCCAGCACGTCCGCTGAAATGCTGTTGACCAGTACCCAGACGCACCAAGACATCAAGTAGATAAATTACTATACACGCAAATTTCTCCATGGCTCAATGTGATGGTGTCTCTATCTGATGAGCTCCAGAGCTGAGACATTAACGACGAACATCTGGGTCTGACATGGGTGATGAGGTGGCCTTTTCAATATTGCCTCCGTCACGCAGTTACGCATAGCATCACAGTAGAGAGAATTTTGTTTGAGACGTCTTGTGTCAGTAATGTGAGCTACTCTAACAAAAAGACGTTTATCCACCCATTGAGACCAAGACGCCTCGTTTACTCTCCCCTGTCAGAGTTTAACCATTTCAGCCCCGTTTACGGGCTTGGCAGGGGGAAAAGTGTGTTAATCTATTCACTAGAAGTTCACAATTTAGCACAATACCTGCCTGATGTCACATTGAAATCTGTGCGTCATGACGCACGCTTATTGAATTCATTATTCCAGTGGTTACATGTGACTCCTTGGGTGCACTGAGAGAATATATTAGTGTATGGGCTATCCTGTAACAGGAAATATTCATTTAGGTGCCATTTCTCGGGGGACACTGATTTTGTATAGATTAAAAGTATATTACTGATCACACTGTAAAATCATAGAAGCGCTTCTCAAAGTGGTTCGGTGTTGTCATTAAGTCTGCTTTCATTTCCTTGTACTTGCCACGTTGGACCTATATTATTAGTGGTAGTGGAGTGTTTAGTACAATAGAGGCTGTAGTGGGCTACATTCAACCTATTGAAACCACCTGAGATTGAGTTGACCTCTTCACCACACGGTGGCAGTGGATCTCCTCACAAAGTGGCAACTCTCTAACGTTGCGACCTTAAACTATTTTTACTAGACTCGTGACCTTTGCCTCACATTCCGTCTTTTCAGGTTTGAATATGAATGAAGGTAAGGCACAGATGAACTGATTAGGGAAAGTTCTACTCCAACAGAGCTCCTATATGTTCTTTGATTAACTTTCCACCATCCGTTTACAGGACAGATAAAAAAAAAAGCTTTTTGAAACCAATTTGTTCTGATTCATTTCAGCACCCACCGTGGGCTAATGAAACCGTTAGATGAGGATTCTGTGGCTGGAAGAATTGTCCTTGACCTTGTTCCATCACCACTGCTTCCATGTGTTGGTATTTGACCAAAATCAAGGCTTTTCAATGTCAGTTAAAGTCATATATAACATTTAAACACTCAAAATTCTATATATTTTTTATTCAACCAGTACCACAGTGGCTTAAAATATCATCAAATTATATTATTTGAAAGCACAGAAAACATTCACTACAGTACAGTCAGAGACATTTCTAGCTTTTGTGGTAAATCTACTACATGATAAAGTTGCCCTGAAGTAGCCCCTCACATTTGACCCCATTTGTCCCACTCCTCCTGAGCCACAGTCACTGTGGCCCCAGGGACATGCAGACATGCTGATAGCCAGAGGGGCGGTGCCCCAAGGGCATGGTGACAAGGACAAACAGCACACTGAATAGAGGTCAGAGTTTATTCTGCACCAAGATAACAAGATGCCCCCTCTGAATGTACCCCACCACCCTGGCAACCATTCAAAGCCTTTCAGCAATCTCTGTGAATGTAAATTCTTGAGTGAGTGTGAGAAACAGGAGTAGAGGAATGTACATGTGAGTGTGTGTGTGTGAAAGCCATGGGGATATAGTCATGGGGTCCGGGTCCAGCTGACTCAGAAAGGCTGTAACCAGATGAGTGTCATTCCTGCAGCCTGTCAGGTGGACTCTCACTGTCTCTCAGCCAGAAACACTCCTCCATCCCTAAGTTGTCCACACACATGATTTAAACCATCACCTCTCCTGGCACCTGTGCCCCATATGTGGCATCAGACACCATGAATGAGTGAAGGCTTTAGTTTCCATTTAAATGTCTTTGAATTTAAAGAGGCAGTGTTTTATTAAAGTGCTCTTTACATCTTAGTGTATAAAAGGCAGGTAACATTAGCTCCACCTTTACCAGCTGCAACATTAAATGTAATGTACACAGCAAGTAATTATAATCTAATAATATGATATAACTACATTAATATAAAGAACTTTTATTTTTGGTACTTTAAGTACATTTTATAATACTTTTGTATTTTACAGTAGGTAAAAATTTGGCTGCATGACTTTTAGTTGTTACAAAGTATTTCTGTACTGAGACACTGCTACTTGAGTTCTTCTTCCAAAACTGTTATATTACTGTCCTGTATACTAATGAAACAGTGACTTTTGATATTGTATGTACTTTGTGTTACTGTGTGAATGGTGTATATTTGTAACTTTGTAATTTTTGCAGTGCTATATTTGTGTTTTTCCTAAAATAAAACATCCAAATATTTGTTCAGCCGTTGCGTCAGAGTAAACTGTAGGGGAAGAGGAAGTTAGACTGTGCTTTAGTAAAAGTAGCAGTTCAACAATACAAAATACTATATGAAATTAAGGCAAGTGTAACTGCTGAACAAATACTGACAAATTAAATGTTGATGTAAATGTACCAAATTACATTCTAACCCTGGCTTTGAATGTGAACACGTATATAGTAAACTGTACATGCACAGCAGGTAATGAACCTCAGTGACCCATGACCTCCTTTAAGATCAGGGTTTTATAGAGTTGTATAAATCCTAAATCAGAATTTGAAGTTTGTTCTTGACCTTGCTAATAGCTAGATGAAAACAAACACATTTAAAAAAAGTTCCAACTTATACTTTCCAAAGCTTTCATAGAGATTTGTTGCAGTAGCGATATGCCTTATACATGTTTACATCTTTATAGACATGTGATAAAAGCTATCATCACATAACTTATACCTAACGCAAGACTCCTAGCACATGCCATCATCACATAACTTATACTGTACCTAACGCAAGACTCCTAGCACATGCACCTACTCAAACTTAGACTGTGTATGTATAAACACTGTCACTATGTCCTCTTAGCAGTAACATGATAAACAACAAAAATTACGGAGGCTCTTGCTGCTGATGGATATGTTTCAGTCACGTGGTTCACCCAAACAGTGGAGTAACGGTGCCAGGTTTTGTCAAGGCTGGATTTGCTGTCGCTGTTTCACACTCATCTGTGTTTGGTGAAATACGCATTAATTGACTGTGTATGTGCATGTATTCACCCAAACAGATGGCATAAACAGTGTTCCGAACCATTTGGGTACAATTATACAGTTTATGTGTGTGTGTGTGTGTGTCACCATTAGAAATGTATCCAAAAAACAAAAGTATTATCTTCTGCTCTCTGCGATATTTCCTCTGGTTCAAGTTTGTTGTTGACAAATTCACGAATATGCGGTTTCACGGCCATCACACACAGTGCTGTCATTTTTAGCACCAGGAGTCAAGGCCAATGTGGTTTAGTCCACATCCGCCTGTTAGTGCGTCACAACAATCACCTTGTCTCTCTATTTCCACACGACACGCACATGACACATTACATGTACCTACAGCTGATGTCATGAGGAACTAAAAGACAGGGTGAGACTGTATCAAAATATGGGTATAAGTCAGGTTAGTGCAGCTTTTTACTGCAACTTCAGATGAAAGCAGGGTTTAAAAATTGCTTGAGTATTAGGTGTGATTATGGAAAGGAAAATGTGCTCATGCTTTAATCATACATAATCAAACAGATGCAGTTTAACCACCAATGGGCCTTTAATAGTTGTTCTAACTTTAGGTTTCCTTAAATGTGTCCCAAAATGACCCAGATCACCACCGTCCTCTGAACAGTCACATCCCAGTCCAATAAACATGTAAATACAAAGCCTAGTCTGAATGACAAATGTACCTTTGGTCCTCTAAAGTATTATTGGACTCCCATCCACTTTGTTTCTTAAAATACATGCACATACCTGACTGTTCTTTAGTGCAGCATTGAGACTGAAGTCCGCTCACTACTCCATGACTGGATGAGATATGATCCCAGGAGAAATTATTCTAGACTATTTATATACATGCAAACAGAGATATTAGCATGTGCTGTGGAGCTCATGTGCTGTAAATCCAGTGCCAACAGCCTAAATCTTGCTCTTAGTCTGTGACCTACTCAGGTATCTGCTGGAGTGAATTACAACTACTTCAGAAATACTGAAGTGTTTTAATTCAGGTATCCAAGAAATAACTTTTCACCTATTAGAACATGTGCAGCACGTCCGGATCCATACATTAAATCTATAAGTTATGAAAAAAATAGTCCAGACTCTGGTGGTCCTCCTATATACATATATACATACATACAGATCTCGAACCTTTTTAGTTTGTCCCTCTGTAAAGCTGAGCAGCATCTACTCACACTACCTCCTCAAAAGGTTCCATATATCTATGTCTTTCAGGCAGTTTAGTCTGAGAGTGATGTTCCATTGTGAGATCATTTCATTTAAAGTATTTGAGGGTAAAACTAAGATCAACCTGGCCAGCATTTCAAAGAAAAACAATTTAGTGACAAATATCCTCTCCTTTTTAATTGTTTTAACCCTGGGAGTCCTGATACCCAGGCCGTTTTCAGATCCAACATGATTATTAAAATACTTACAGTATGTACCAAATTAGATAACAGTATAGCTACTGTAAGTGTACTAGAATACACAATGCAATATTGTGGCTGCTTGTCAATATGAATTTATTCAGGACACCAGTATCAACTGCACAGGTGTGACAGTGCATTCAAAGCCTAAGTTGCTTAAAGTCAGACATAGGTACCATCCAACTCAGCATAACTAAAATAATACAATTCAATGCCAACATTACATCAGATGCACATTATTTTGTCTTTTAACAAAAACACAAATGCCGTGATGCATTTCATCCTTCAAGCCACCAATTGTTTATTTGTCAGACAATGCGACAGGCAGATAAATGGTACATGTAAATTATTTAACATAATCAGTTCAACAATCAATTGATAAGAGGAAAACAAGCATTGATCATATAAGATGATAAAAAAAGAAAATAAGTTATCACTGTGCTACCACTTTCTTCTATTTACAAAAAAAAGAATAAAATTAACTTCATAAAAAAAGTCCTTGGGACTATTTACAGATTCTGTACAGGGATGAAGAAGAGTCTTCCTGCTGCAAGAAACAGAAAAAAATTCAGTCATACTAGGATGTGCACATTTAACATAACTTAATATTTTTATATGCCGAAAAGAAACAGAGTACATTGGGCCTCATTTGAGTCAATTTTTTAAAACTAGGATTGTCTCAATTTGTGTAGTAACCCGGAGAGGCCACTTCTATTACAAACAGAAACAGTGACACTGCGTCTACCTACCTATAAAACATTGAGCAGGTTGTTCTGGATGTCTTCATACACCTGGTTGTAAATCTCCTCTCTGGATTTCAAACCATCCAGGTACACTGCAACATGCAAAAAAGAAAGAAAATTCACTCATTCATTTGCTGTTGAAAAATTATCCATATAAATGTTAGATTAAAAACTGCTGAACTCCTGGCAGATTACACTGAACTGCTGAAAGAAAACGTAAGCAAACATTAAAAAGACACTGAACTGATAGAAATGCATTGGTATAAAATGAGCTGCAAAATACCGATGTTCAGTCCGCTTGCCTCCATCTCTCTTCTGTGCTTCAGGTACATGGGCCACACATGACCGTCAAAGAGGTTGGGAGGGTCGGGGACAGTGTACCGCCTTGTACTGAAGACAATAAACAGTTAGAAACTGTGCTGATAATTTTGGTAAATGCTAAAAACTCAATCTTTGTGTTCACTCACCTTCTCCTTCTCTTGCACTCCTCATAGGGAATTGTGATGTAATAGCTCTTACTGAACACATCCAGAAGGGGACTGCAGGGGAAACGCAAAAAAAAAAAGTGTTGAACAAAGCCAACACATAAGGTCTTCAACCAAACCACAGAACGTGAGAATAGTTATAGATAAGAAAGCCTAAGAACAGTCAAATATCTCTGCAGCACACATCCCTTTCATCCCTAGCACACAGAGCACCAGCTTTACCCTAAAACCGAGCCTCGTTCTGGTGAACTTCTTATCTCTAATTGCAGAATCTGCCCAAGTTTGCATGCAGGGATCCATATACGTGCTAATGACAGACATGCAAAATTACCACATAACTTACAAGATTTTTTTTCCCCCCAGAATTTGCAAGACACTGTTTTTCTTCAGGAAATTCTGTGGTGACTAAGTGGGATCACTTATTCCAGATTAAAAACAAAAGAAAACCTGATCTAAAGAGCAAGCTATACTGTCCAAACTGTTTGTTTGGAACAACTAGCCACACTTCCACATTAATACAACTAGTTGATATATCAACAAGCATTACAGGCCCATACTGGTCAGTCATTTGGAAGAGCGAAACTTGAAAATCTCTCTCCCTTAAAAAACAAACAAACAAACAAACAAACAAAAACAACCCAGACCAAGAGAGCAGTCACCCCAGGCTGGCACACACAGCAAATTAAGCATGCAACACTCAGCTTACGAGTAGTTGTAGAGCAGGAAGCCCTCCACAATCAGGATGTGGATCTGGTTGTCGGGGTTGGCCACATCAGAGGCAGAGGACAAAGGGACACCGTGAGAACGGGCAAACTTCACTGGGTTCTCGATCCAGCCTTTTACCGTGTTGGTCATGGCCTCCATATCCAAAGCTGTGATTACTGTAAAGCAAGATTGATAAAAAAAAAAGGAAGACAATGGAAAGCACAGAAGTTTAGAATAAACACAAACAAGAAAGTAAAATATTGGGAACAGGTGTTGTTTTTCCAAAAGACTTGGGTTTTTTTCCCCCCCCCTTTTACCAACTTACTATAATGGTGTGCATGTTAAATGGCTTTAATGTATGAAATCTTGAAGAGGGATTTTAAAGGGCCAGGTATATGAATATTAAAGCAATGAGACAGTGGCAGTCTTCAGTGAAGTCTTACCATCCCACTGTTTAAAGCCGTCGTCCCCGACTTCTATCTGATCGGTTTTCTGAAATAACAGTCACGAATAAAACACTGCTGCAACCTCACAGCTCGGAACATTTGCAGACCCCACTCACATGCAAGAGCACAGCCAAATGAGAGCACACAGAAGAAAAAAGGAAAAAGCACATTCATAAAGTACAGCAAGCAAAAATATAGAGCTTTGATTAAAAAGGGAAATAACAGGGCAAAGCTAGACATTATATAGTATAATGTAATGTGAGTGTATTAAAGGAGATGCAGGAGAATATAAAAAAAAAATGAAGTTCAAAGCGTAAACCTAAGTGGTACAGGTGTGTTAGATTATGACAGCAACCTGTACATAAGGAAAAAGAAAAGCATGACTGAATCAGTGAGAAGAGAGAACCTGGCAAACAAACTACTCTGCACACACAGAGCAGAAGAGAGAAGGCTGTTCACATATCTGCTGTGGACAACAGACAGTGGGGAATGGGATACTTTGCTTACATGCAATTCTCATGCATTGTTCTTTAGAAGAGAAAAAAAGAAGACAAACTACAACAAAAATGTAACATTCACTTGCTAAAACTCACCTTGAAAAAGTCATCTTGGTGCACAACACAGCAATTGGGCAAAGTCTGGACCAACTTATTGGTCAGGGTAGTTTTACCACCATTAGTCACTCTGTAAAACAAAAGGGGAAAAAGTGATCAAATATGCCTGCATATGTTTGAAAACTAAATAATTTTTAATAGAAACAAAGTAAAAGCACAAACTAACTACCCTGAGATATGAGGTGTCCTTTGTTTATACATTATGGTTTGTAGTTATTTTGGTACATATACCAAAGAGTCACATGCAAATAAAATAGTAAATTAAAACACAGCTAAACGTGAAAAAATGGTGGGCATGTGATTAAAGGTTGCATCGTTTTAAAGAGATGAAGGGCTCTAAATAAAAAGCGCACTGCTCTATTTTAATAAAATCAGCTAAAATTGAATGCAACAAAAATTGTGTCATTTCCTATGTTAAAGGTTTATATATAAATTGTGACGTTACAAAGTTCTTGGTTTGGGGCAATAATTAAATTAGACACTTATAAACTCAGCCTGGCGGCAAATTTTCAAATGTCCCGCTCGATGTATGACAACAAACCGTGGCCGGATGTGACTTTAAAACTGGTTTAGCCCAGCTATAAGACTTCCTGGCGGGCAACTGATAAAACATGTGGAATAACTCAACGTGACCTATCAACCAGAAACGAGTCACTATTAAAAAATCCATAACTTCAGCTAAACCTCCTCATAAGATACCGCCACGAACAATAACACACTGTCAAGCAATATCATTTCAATGAGGTTTAACAAAAGCTGCGTCTCTTCCCTAAATTATCAGTCAGTTCAGTCAAGATAACATTACAGGATTTTTTTTAAATAGAGGGACAGATGTTAGCAAACATTAAAAAAAGATAGCTGACAACTAACGTGGTCCTAACATTAATTGTTTGATAAAATTAAGAAATACTTACCCGCCAATCCCTATAATGTACTTCATCTTTTCACAACTTCTCAGCACTCAGTGTCAGCCGAAGAAACTGCCAAGAGTACTTCTAACCAAACGTAGAGGATAAAACCCTAACAAATAAAATGCCACGGGAAAAAAAACTGTAACTTTAAATTACAGTCGCCGACCTTCCCTCTCAGACTAGTACTCCATTGATAGTATGCGCGCGACACTGCGTTTATATACATTTAGTGTCGTGTTGCGTCACCACGTACGCAAGCATAGTGCGTTCTCGTGGTCGGTCGTGCTCTTTTCCACGTTTTCGATTCCTGTTCTTTTCCGCTCGTGTTCCTCTTGGCAGCAGCCAATCACAGCCTGCGAACCATGTATGACCCCAAATAATTTGTAGTTACAATACTATGCAAAAAATGGCAAAAAATAATTTAACTACTTGAATCACTATGAACTACAACCAAGCTACTGCACAATGTAAACTGCTAGTTTAAATACACGTATTTCACCACTACCCAACACTGATAGTCAGCTTCTCTCTCTCAGTATTAGTGTGTAAATGGAGAAGGGTGTGACTCATGACTATATTATGGTGGGGACATTACACGAAAATGTTTTTCAAGCGTCTTATCTGACCTTTGTGCAATCGGGCTTCACACTGAGAAGGCAGTGCCAAAACTAATATGTCTCTTGCACTGGCGGAAGAAATGGCACATTTAACATTAATGTGTATCATTTTATTGGATTTTATCGGATTAAAATTTGACTATTGATACATTTTTTGTGTAGCCTACATCACATTTAATATTGCAGCTGGTAAAGAAGGAGCTAGTTTGAACTAACTTACTGTATATGCATATAAATTTAATTTGAGTAGCTCCTCTGCAGATCAATAAAGTCTTATGATTCTACTGTATTTTCTTAATTAATCTGATTCTGAAAAGTAACTAGTCAGTAAAGTTCTAAAATAAATGTACAGGTATTAAAAGTACAATATTTACCTCTAAAATGTAGTGAAGTTGAAGCATGAAACAGCAGAAAATGAAAATACTCAAATAGTACAGATACCTCAAAAATTACTTTTACACCATTGATCTTTTAGGATGTCATCAAGCAGGAGGTGTGGCATCAGGATTTTCTATCTGACACCAAGACTTAAATAGTCACTCAAGAATGTAATGCTCAGTAATGTTCTGCACTCTTTGGCTATTTGTTATTTGATTGTAAGAATGACTATATATAACTTTAAACAAGCTGCAGAGTAAACATGTACAGTATGCATGCTTAACTGGTAGATTTATTATTACACATTACTTACAGTACTTTAACTTTGTTTCTATAAAACACTAGAGCAAAGTCATCTTTTCAGGTTTTACCATAACAGACTCTACATCTGAAGACTAGAAAGTGTCTCGCTGTATAAGGAAGCATGAAAACTAAAAGAATTTTCAAGGAACATTTTATTTAGTCTTATTTATTGTACAAGGCAGAAACAATCATGGCAATCTAAAGGGCGTCAGAACCATGAATGATAGATCATCTTTCCCATTTAAATCTGAGCAAACATTAGGCCTATACAGCAGAAAAATGAGGAGTTGTAACAATATCGATATTGTATTGTGCTTTTCTAGTACAAATAAACATTTTGATTTTGGAAAGGTCACATGAGTCATTTCATGTGGGATTAACCCAATACAGTAAACCTATACATTCAAATAACTAAAAATTTAAATGCCACACTTTACATTTCACTCACTTTTTTGGATTTTTAAACATTTGGTTCAAACCTACAGACAGAGTGACCTTTCCTCATAAATGATACACTACTGTGAATAGTCTGGGATTGCTCCATCAAGCATGATAAATATTTGATGTAACCACTCAGGGTAGGTGTATTGATGTAAAAGCATACTAAGAGGATAAAAAAGACTTGCAACAACAAACCTCTCATTAATATTCCTGCATCACAAATACAAAAGAGAGATAAAGAGAGAAATCAGAATTGAGATGGTACTTCAGAAACAGACATTTCCTATGTTCTGTACCAATGAAGCATATGCATGTCTGTATCTTACTAAGTTACACAATTGCATGGCATCAGTCATGCAACTTAACAACAACACAAAATGCTGTACATTTTAAACATAAATTTATCACATTCAACAATTTGAGGGTCATGCGACAACCACAGTGTAAAACAATATCAGAATAACAGTATACAGGCAAATACAACTATGCAGTTCCTTAAAAAAATAAAAATTTCTTACTCCTCTGCTCTCCTGCTACCATAGGTGAACAAATGGAAGACGAGAGAAAATCAAGCAATCCCCAGAAAATACATAATGTATTATGATGTTTAAGAAATGTAATAATATCAGAGACAATCCAGCAGAAACAACAGGATGCCACTGTGCTGAAACAAAGACATCTTTACCTAAGCTAATGTACATTATCCATGTGTTGCTTTATTGTTGTGACCCTTCTTTCAGAGGCTGATTAATATCTTATATAGTCAGTGAGAACTTGGTCTCATAATATGAGCTGATAAGAAATGTATGTTTATATGAAAATGATTTATATGAATCATGACCTCACATACAGTCTGATGCACACCTGATAAGAAAAGAAAGTGTTGAAATCCTGCTCACTGTCAGAATGTAGTTGATTTCAACTCTTTCTTTTTAAAATGCACATTTTAGAAACTTTCTAAAAGAACCACGATTTGTGAATTGTCTTGATTTGAGTCACTTTCGTGCAGATTTCATACAACATTATTCTGTATTTGTGTTTAGTGTGTTAGTGTTTTTCATATACTGAATGCATGGTATATATATCATATACTGTAAAATGCAACTCAGTGGGCTAATGTATGAAATCTGTTTGTCTAATCACAACATATTCTTGCGATCCCTGTACAAAGAGTTTACAACATAAATGATTCTCATAGATTTTCAGCAAATTGAAATGATGTCTCCACATATTAAGCACAAGAAGAATGAGGCACATTATAACATAAAGTACAGATGGGAGGGCACAGAGGAAACTATCACAGAACAGATGGGAACAGAAAACACAATTTTAACTGATCCCTATATCAGAGAATGTTAGTACATTTGGACATTTTTTAAACTGTCACTACAACAGAAGTGAACTTGGAAAGGCTTTATGATACAGCAGTTATGAGGCAAAAATAAAGATGAAGGCATCAAAAGACTGTTATTGTGATTCCTGGGCTTCTTATATTTTGAACTTTTATTTTCAAGCTACTTCCTGTCTCATGCCACTCTCACCTGTCCTAACTTTACTCTGGCCACTGATTACCTCTGATTACTTTCACCTGTTGCTCGTTGTCTCCCTGGTTCATCCCTTTATATTCATCTTGCCTGCACCAGCTTGTTGTTGGTTGCTACATTTGTGTTTGTTATGTTTAGTTGTATTTTCTTATCATTTCATGATTAGTTCCTTGGCTTTGCAGTTTGTTTGTTTTTTTCCCTGTCAGGGCTGAGCTTATTTGGGTTTCTGTGTTTTAGTCCTTATTGTTTTTTTTATCTTTTAGAAGTTAATCACTTTGTATTATCCTGTGTTTAGATTTGCTTTTCCTTTGTTATCATAGTAATGTATTCTTTGTGTGCTTGCTTTTCTTAGTTTCACGTAATAACGCTCAGTTTTCGGTTCCTAGTCTGCATTTAGGTTCTTATTCTCTTAAACTCTGACAGTTTAAACCAGTGAGGTGAATATAAAGGAATGATTCAGGGAGACAACAAGCAACAGGGGGTCGACAGTGGTGCGGTGGGTAGAGCAGTAGCCTCCCAGCCGGAAGGTTGAAGGTTCGAATCTCATTGCCTGCAGTTCACATGTCTTGGGCAAGACACTGAACCCCCCAAGTTGCCTGTCATGGTAGCCCGGGGCCCTTGGCTCCAAACAAAATTTTGTTGTACGTGTTAAAATGACAATAAAATAAAGCTTGTAACAGGTGAAAGTAACTGGAGGTAATCGATGGCATGAGACAGGAAGTAGCTTCAAAACAAAGCGGGTGAAATAATTCTTTACACCTAACACCCACCAGCACGAACATAAATGTGTGTGACTGATTTGGTTTTATCTCATATAGACCACATCCTTGGTTTGTCACATGTGGCACATGTGGCAGTTTAACATTTTGTGTGTTGCCAGGTGCTGAAACTCTAGAAACCTGTGCACACATCAGTCTTGTCAGGTGAAAATATTTAATCTCTTTAACTGCCAGAAAGTCTGTGAACCTTCTGCTAGCAAATGTTGTTTTATTTTTCAGGTAATCTTAGTTGATTGTCTAACAATCTGTAAAATTATCTTGAATCTTTAAACTGATAATGTAATGGGGGGGCGGTGCCTTGGCCTTACAGAGCCACATGGTGATATCATTTAAATATGGGCTATATAACAGGTCCTACCGGATAGCAGGGGTAATGAATTCACCAGTGGTTTTCATTAAGAAGCACTTCCTGAAAACAGAGCAGCATCTACCTTTGTATACCTTCAAGTTGCAATATAAAACTTTATGAGAACAAGCATTCACCAGTTTAATTGGAAATGATGGCAGCTGGATGTTAAAACAAGAAAGCAGGTAGACCTGTTGGGGTGTCTGCTTCTGATGAAGTGTTCATGTTCCATGCTTCTGTTACAACCTGCATAAAGAAGACATTTTGGATAGCATAAAAAACATTGTGCTGATGGTGATTAATTCAAATGCACCAATGACATGACCAGTTAAAACTCAATGCCAATAAATACAGTATGTACATGGGGTGAAACCTGTGTCTTTAATAACAATGCCTTCTTGGATGGAAACCAGTGTTTTGGAAAAATACTGAAGTTTTTTTTTTGTAGAGATTTCAGGAAAATTTGACTTTGTTTTTCTCATTGCAATCAAACTCTGAACTCCAAATGTGTTTGAGTGAAAAATGATCTATTCTCCCAGCTGTTCAGCAGATACAAAGGAATGACTAATACTTTTAAATGGGTTTCAATGTACACTCACCAGCCACTACATTAGGTACACCTGTACAACTGTATGTAATTCAATGCAACACTTCTGCCTTAACATCTGTGTTTATGAAACTTAGTGTTTCAGTTTTTGGTGACATTGTCATAAATTGTTTACTGATGTCATTGTTAAATGTGGTGTTGTACTGGACTACATTATATTTAGCAGTGTCTATAATTTTGTACTCCCCAACTATACACATGAGAGGGTCAGAATATTAGGAACACCTCCAAATATAATTTACACTAATCTTTAACTTAGTTTGTGCACAATGAAATGTTGTACAAAAAGTTTAGAATCTGATTTTCCCATTCATAAAACATACTGGAATGTATAATTATTGCTTGGTACTTAGCAACCAAAAATATAATGGTTTGTGTTGTGGATCGGTTTCTAAGCACACTGCCATCTTATGGATAATATAAGAAATACACCAGTGGTGTATGTGACCTTCACCTGCAAAGCTCTGTCTTTCTCATAATCCTTGGTTGACAATCATTGACTTTGGCCTAGAAATGAGAAAAAGATGCAATCAGGACTTTTTAAAAAGCTGGAAAGATTACAGTGTAGCAGAAACTAATGGATCTCCCAAATAATTTAATGTCTAATGTGAAAATATGGAAATCTAATAAGGACCTCTCAGACTTTTTAACAGGCTCCTGTGACTGCTGCTGCTCCTGCTCCATCCTGCACACACACACACACACACACACACACACACACACACACACACACACACACACACACACAGAGAGTTTATGTACACATTT